GGAACTAGCCCCTCCCCCCCACACACACCCCAAATAGCTTGGCATTGCAAACTACCCTGAATTATCATCAAGGTCTGTCACTGTAGTTGTGGAACCGGTATTTAAACCTAACAGGCTAGCCAATGATAGTAACTGAGAAGCAAGTCAGATAGAGACAATCAGGAAATTCTAAGAATATCTCAAGTGAGAAAACTGCAATTAGGAGATGGGGTCTGTGTTAGCATCTTTTTTCAGTTCTCTGCTACAACCCCAAACTCAAGCAAGATAATGTGGAATTAAAGAAACTTTTTGTTTTCCACAACGCTGCTTAGTTTTTGTCTGGAGCAAGCATTTCTGAATAATGCACCCAATAATAATAATCGTACCACCTATCTTGTACAAGAGTCTTCACATCCCATGAATAAAATCCTTGCTCCACTCAGGTCCTGTCATTGACTTCAGTGGTGCCTGGATTTCATCCCGCGAGTCTTTAACTCTTTAAGTATGGTTCATCTGGTTTGGGGGTGAGAGGAGAGGGAGCTGAAGTTTTCCTCCCACAAAACTGGTAAGGGAGGAGAGTGCTAATGCACAGAAATCCTCTGTCTCATTGGAGCTGCTTTACTCCAGGGAGATCAACGTAAAGGCAGCGCAGAGGCACATGGCTCATCTTTCATGCCAGCAGCTGCTTCCCCTGGGAATATCCCATCAGAGGGTAATTCAGAAGAGGGAATCCAGTAAGATAATGCAGACCCTCCCCCCCGCATTAGTGTTAGTGTTAATTCTAGAGGAAAAGTCTCCTTGGGCCTAGGTAAGGAGAAGTAACACCACAGAGCACAGCTGTCCTCTGCCAGCACTGAGCAGACCCCCTTAAGAACCTAAGAACATAAGAACGGCCGTACTGGGTCAGACCAAAGGTCCATCCAGCCCAGTATCCTGTCTGCCAACAGTGGCCAACGCCAGATGCCCCAGAAGGAATGAACAGAAACAAGTAATAATCAAATGATCTCTCCACTGTTGCCCATTCCCAGCTTCCAATGGTGAGGCCAGGGTCACCATTCCTACCCATCCTGGCTAACAGCCATTGATGGATCTAACTGCCAAAGTTGACCTGCTTGAACAGTGAAGATTCACCACAGTGAGCTGAAGTGGGGGATCTAAGCAACACATTTTGCTCCATATCACCATGGGGCCAGCTCTCAAAGTGTGAGATGGCTCTAACTGATAAACCAACAAGTTTCTGTGGAATAATGTTTTAATCCTCCATCTCATTCATATCTTGGTTATCTCCTGATAATGTGGACTGTTACTTCAAAAGGTGAGATGCCTCATGTTCAGCTCATGTACTGGCCAGCAAAAGACACTGCCAAGACAAAAAACTACTTCACTCTCTGACACTCTGAGCACTTCCCAAGCTGGTAATGAACTCAGGCCAGCCTAGAAGCCAGGGGGGTCCTTCACCACCGGTTTACCTCCTCCTGGTGACAGTGTCATGATCAGTACTACTATGTAGGCCTTGTCTGTAGGAGTTAGTTTTTAAAAAGAACAGCTAGCAAAAAGACGCTTATTGGGAAATTCTTCAAGTGAAAAGTCAAGGCGCCAGCATGGATGTTGTGCATATGCAACCTTTGCTAAGGGTCGGCTCAAGACTTATGTACCCTTTCTTCTCACTGAAGCTCTCAAAATACACTTCAGTGCAATTTCACTGATGCACAGGCCTTGATCCAACCCCCTGCATAGGGAGAATTTTATCCACAGTCAACTTGCAGCATCAGGCCAATCCTTATAAAACGTACAGCCTAAGGGAAGGGGGCAAGGTGTGTCTCTGTGAGAAGGAGAACCTGATCCAGAACTTACAACCACCACACTCTTGGATGCATCCAGGACATGAATGACTGGTGCACTGTACCGAGGGGCAATTTTCACAGCTGTATGTGTTCTGAAATGAGAAAACAGAACAAAACTTTCCACATCAACAAATGCCAAAAGAGCACTTTCCTGCTCAACTTCTGCCCACCATATACCTTTACACCAGGATTTATGCCACTGCAGAATTTCCAAAGGAGTTGCACCCACTTGTGCCAGAGTCACATTTTAGCCACAATTAGGGTATGTCTACACTACCCTCCTAATTCGAACTAGGAGGGTAATGTAGGCATACCGCACTTGCAAATGAAGCCCGAGATTTGAATTTCCCGGGCTTCATTTGCATAAACCGGGCGCCGCCATTTTTAAATGCCGGCTAGTTCGAACCCCATGCCACGCGGCTACACACGGCACGGAGTAGCTAGTTCGGATTAGGCTTCGTGGAATGAGGAGTACAGCTAGTTCAGATTAGGAAGCCTAATCCGAACTAGCTACTCCGTGCCGCGTGTAGCCGCGCGGCACGGGGTTCGAACTAGCCGGGATTTAAAAATGGCGGCGCTCGGCTTATGCAAATGAAGCCCGGGAAATTCAAATCCCGGGCTTCATTTGCAAGTGCGGTATGCCTACATTACCCCGCTAGTTCGAACTAGCGGGGTAGTGTAGACATACCCTTAATAAATTATAGATGCTAAAACATTCTCTGCAATGACCATCTTTTCCAGGGCTTCCGCTACCCTTAAACACCTGCTTCCAGCACCGCTGAATTGCACACGTGGCTACTTGGTTTTGACAGATGGCTCTGGGTTCAAGCCCTTGCTATGCCACTGAATTCTTGTGTATCCCTGGGCAAGTCACTCCTTTCTCTGTGCCTCAGCCACCCACCTGTAATATGGAGATAACACCCGTTCCCAAATCACAGAGATATTCTGAGGATAAAGACAGTGAGGTTTTGAGATTCTACAGTAATTGGGGCCATATAAGGAAAGAATAAAAAATTATATTTGGGAGGGCAATAATTTTTGATGGGAGGCACTCCAAGAGTTTGATAAGTGGTTAAGGGCCACACTCTTTTAAGATATTCCTACAGTTCAAAAGCAGAGGTGCCCTTATCAACTAATTGAATAGCTGATGGAAATCCCATTGACTATTCAATTAGTTAATTTAACATCCTTAGGCTTGTAGGTTATTTTTAAGTTTACATTCTAATGCAGGGTGGACTGCTGTGACAGTAGAGGTCTTCTTAATCTATTCAGTCCCTGCAGTGTGTTATTGGACCATTGTGACAAGGCCAGCTGGTCCAGGATTCAGGAAAACACAGAACACCAATCAGAATACGCACAAGACGCTTGGTACAGAAAGAAGCAGTACTAACAGCTTTGATAAAGTCAAGAACTGACCTCTGCAACCTCCAAAACTGTTACCTGCTTAAATACATCAAGGTTAATATTAGATGTCAAGACAGCTGTCAATAGTGTTCTTCAGAAAATCATAATGGTGACACATTTTAATTTTAATGTATGTGAGGCAATGTGCCCACAGTCCCAAAACTGAGACTCCAAAATTCTGAATATAGCTGCATGTAGGCAAGTAGCCAGCATCTGTCCACCTCAGCCTGCTTCAACAGGGCCCTAGGTTCAATCCTCAAGGTGCTGATCCAGGAAAGCATGGACTTGACGCATGTCAAAAGGCCCAGTCAAGTCAATGAAACCATCATATGCTTCAAGTCTAGCTCAAGGTGAGTCTCCATGGTCATCAATCTGCAAACAGACACAGCACCCTGGAGATCTGTCATGATGATGATGGCATCATCAACATACGATTAAAGTTAAATACTCTCAGAAATGCTTGGCTGGAGCCCAGCCAGACTGCTCAGCACCGTGCATAGAGGGCATGAGTGAGGGTGGGGTCTGGTCCATGGTGTTACAAGTGTTTTAGGATTCCCCAGATGAAAATTATAACTGAACATGGCAGGGGAGAAGAATCACCCTATGTATTATAAGGATTTTTTAAAGTTTATTTTACCTGTAATGGTATTTTAAAAATACATTTGCTCCCCTCCCTCAAAGTATCTTACTTACTTAGAAGTAGTTGCTCCTCCAATCAGCAAAGGAATCTTTATCTCTAATCTCTCCATTTCCTTGGCAACAAATATCATTTCATCCAAAGAAGGTGTGATAAGACCAGACAGGCCAATTATGTCTATGATAGATCAAAGAAAAATGGGTTAAAAAATCTTACCTGGGAAAGGATAAAAATATTACACAATTTTTTACCCGTAATTAAACTTTAAACAGAGAGAGGTTTGTTGATTTCTGCACTATGAATGACCTAGTCACTGGCGGAACCCTATTTCAACATCGTGAAATTCACAAACTGAAATGGTATTCTCCAAATGGCAGAGAGAAGAACCAGATTTACTGTATGATCAATGGCAATGGTGATGTTCACTGACAGATGTGAAAGTGAAAAGAGCTGTAGAGATTGGAAGCGACCACCATTTAGTGGCAGCCTTCATCAAGCTAATGCTGGGATGTGTGAGTACACCACACAAGGGACATAGACATTATGACATTGACAAGCTAAAGTCCCCTGAAATACAGAAACCCTTTGGTAAGCAGTTAAATAACTAGTTTCAGGTACTTGAAGACCTTGATGAAGAGAAGGAGAGTGCAGATGACGAGGTCAAAAAGTGGGATAAGATAATATCAATTTATATTAAAAAAAAATAAGAAGAACAGTGAGGCCTGTCTAGGCTACAGGTCAAAGAGAAGGAATGAGTGAATTGCATTCCCCTACTGCTCAAAAGTTTCTCAAACTTTCAAAGTATAATTAATTAATAATACAATTTAAAGGTGTTTAAAATTAAACAGTTGATAAGTAGAAATGAAATCTTTGTACCTGCTTTGTTTTCAATAGCAGCTCTCAGTATTTTATCACACGGAGTCATGACTCCTAAATCGATAACTCTGAAAAGAAATGAACATGACATTTAAAGTTCACAAAAACCAGACCATTTTGAATGAAGGTCAAAGCACTTCATTATAAACACTGGTCCAGTACTGCAGCATTCTGTTGTAGAGGAAGACCACAGAAACCTCACTGTGAAGGCAAAGGGATGGATTCCTTTTTACAGATGTATTATTCTTGGAAATATCAATGACTGTGAAGGACTTTTAGTTTCTGAAGGGATTTCAGATTATAAAGTATCACAGAAGGAGCTGAAGGGGGACAGAGTAACTTAACGTTTAACTTTTTTTGGAAAAGCCATGGGTTTTTTAACATATTAAAGGAGGGATGGAGGAGAAACAAATGCGAATTTAAAAAAACCTTAGTAGTATAGAAAGCAGCACTGTCTTGATATAAAAAATTAGCGGCTAATAAATATGTTTTATACTAAAATGCTGATAGTACTTCATTTTTCTGTTCAAATACTAATGTGGCAAACAAAGGCTTTTAAAAAGTAATAAGCAGTAAGTTGCTGATGGTAAAACATTAAAGTGGTAAATTTTAGATGGGCGGGAGGGTGGAGAGAGAAACAGAAAGAAAAACGAATACATGCAGCTAACCTCCAGGCTTAAAAAAATGCACTTACTCTAGGCAACTGAAGCAACTTGTACCATGAATTTATGCAGGATCTATGCTTTCCTTTAAAAGAAAAGCCCAACTTTCTATTCCTTATGATTGTGCCAATAACTTTCCAAACACATTTATTGTAAACCAAAACAGTGTCACCTTTCTGAGTCTGCAGGCTGTTAGCACAAATGACTCTGCTGCTGCTCATAACTGTGCAAAGCAGCAGTGGAGGAAAGCTAACTAGTCTCTGGTCAATTACACAAGCTGCTATTCAGAACCCTGTGGGCAGCAGTGAAACCAGCAAAAATTATGTAAATTCCTGGTAGGGCAGACAACTGAGTTATTCATGAGGAAAAGAAACCAAACAAAGTGTCAGGGGGGAGCCAAGAATCCAAGTACTCTGCTTACTGTTAATCTTCACCTTTGCAACAGCCAAAATGTTCTGGATAAAGGACCAAAAAATAAAGCTTAATCTAGTTTCCAGCAACTAGAAAAGGAAAGAACTTCAGATGTATAAGATGCCTATTAGACAGAGGTGGAGATGAAAGACAGGCTTCAAGCAGGACAGTACCCTGGCTGAAATCCTGTTATTGCTCTCTTCCTAGCAGCTGATGGGTTCTGGTCATCAGTGTGCTGCTCCCAGATTCTGAGCTTAAAATTTTAAAAAGCTATTAAAAACCTTCACACAAACTTGAAACTTTCAAGGTCTTGTGGCTATGAAGAACAGCTTGAAAACATGGAGCTTGAAGGCTCAAAAGCAAGATGGCATGTAAGAGTATCCTAGAGCTTATTTTTCTTCTAAAATCATGGTTCTTTTGGTTGTTGCTTTTTAACGCATGGGGCTTGCAATCCTGCCCCTTGCTTTTGCCTTATTCTAGTTTCTTCTGACATACTAAATTGTACCAGAAAGCATTTAACTGTAAGTTAGCAGATAATATTATACTGTACAGAAAACAGGGATAAAAATGGATAACTCGTTACCTGAAATTGTTGCAGCCCAATACCACTCCCACAATGTTCTTGCCAATATCATGTACGTCTCCTTTTACGGTAGCTAGCACTATTGTGCCATGGTAAGGGTCCTGCAAGATGAACACACATCTCAGTATTTATAATTGTGGGGAAGGAAGGCACAATTTGTTTGTTCAGATCCTAGTACAATGGGGTCCTAGTCCATGAGTGGGGTTCCTAAGTGCTACTGCAATACACATCAATTTTAATGAGAGTTATTACCTGAAAAGTAACTGATTTTTACATCAAACTGTTTAAAGGCAAATATGCATAGAAGAATTACCCTGACTGGATATATTGTTCTAATTCAAACACATGGGCTGAGACTGATTTAACTGGTAAACTGTTTTAGAGCAAAACCCTACTTAATTCAGTGTTAAACAGACTAATTTGTGTAGTACCTTGCCTCTTAAAAAAAACTATTGTACTCAATAGCTTAATTAGAAAAAATATTTAGAATGGCTCCTGATGCTCAGAACCAAGTGCACATATACGTCTTGAGGATAATTTTGATCTATTTTGATTTTGTATTCAAAGAGAAGAGAATTAAGAATGGGAAGAGAACAAAGACTGAAGTGTCTCACACAGCAAGAGAGTCAGAATCTTGTACAAATCAGCAATAACATGCCAGACTCTCTAGTCCAAATTAGCTATTTTATACTACTCAAGGTGCAACAAATGACCCAGATTCAGGACATCCATGGCCAGCAGAGAATTCCCCTTTCAGAGCAGAACCTACCCAAGGCATAAATCTGAACAAAGAAGCTTCTGCACCAGTATACTCCTCACCTTGGCACTAGGGGCACTGCTGGAAGCATGACAAAACCAGAGATCCCTTATACTGATCCTCCAGTGATTCTCCCTTCAGCACTTTATGTCAGGGGCATACCCTATGGCAGGGGCATACCCTAGGCTGCTACAATGCAGTGTCTGGGCTAGTGCTGGAAGCAGGAACAACCATAGTCTCCAGGATGGGTTCCCTTTCCTTGCAGAAACCAGGAAAAGGGGAGAATATTGCATATTAAAATACAACAAAAATATACATTTTGAGTATTTTATCTCTTGCACGGATCTAGGAACAGACAACAGATCTCCTCCCTGGGGTGCCAGGGTGACTTTTCTGGGCTTGCTAGAACACTTTCTATTATGCATCTCCATAAATTTCTGTGTACATAAATATAATACTGAACAGCACTTCTGTTTTTTAGGAGAGAGGGCATGAGAGGACATCATGCTTAATGATGATTCAACTAGGCAACATCTTAGAGGGACCACAGTGATGAATTTTACAGCACATGTACTGTTGGATACACAACGATAAATTTTAAAAATCCATTTAATCAACCAGAGAGAAGGATTATACACATGTACGATGATCTAGCAAGGACTATAGACTTAACCAGTGATGAAAACCCTAAGGAAATAAAGGCATTTTACATTGATTCTATTTAATCGTGGCCATTTCAATTGTTGTAAATGAGGTAGAGCGCTCTAGTAATGGACACAACCCAAACTGCCCTTTTTATTCTGCAATTGGCTGTAGTTGCAGATCTTTTGCCCTCAAATGCTATCAGTAGTGCTTCATGAGTCCTGCAGTTCTGTAACAAACTGTCCGGGAGGTAATCGTGCTCCTGGGTAAAAGTCTAGTCAGTGTGCCAAGATGCTTTCAGAAGTCATCTGCCAGCCATTCTCCTCCTGATCAAGAGCAATCTAAGGGAAAGTTCTACAGCCCTCATCCAGAGAAGCTCCACAAAGTACTGCTGGGCCTTGCTCATTCTTTTCCCACCTTCCCATCAGAGCAGTAATCTATGTAGAGCCAGCTCTGCTTGTTTTAAAATCCCTGAAACTCTGTTAGCCCTCCTTTTCGGAGACAGAGAGCACACCAAATGCCACAGACACCTCAAAATTCACATGGGGCCCAACCCAATACCCATTGAAGTCACCAGTTTTTCATTGGCACTAGATCAGATACGAGATGCAAAGAGGCAGCCACCCTAAAGGGAAATCCTAGCGTGTGCCCAACTTGAGAGTTGGTTACAAACAGAGAGAAGCGGAAGCAAAGAATGTTGCTGCAGGGAATGGAATGGAAAGGAAGGGAAGAAAAGTCTACAAAATCTTTCTCCAACAGAAGAGAAAAAAATCCATATGGAGGGGGCTAAGGGAGGAGAAAGAGAAAAGACATGCTATCTCTGCCATTAGAGTATACAGATTGTTTTTATGTGAAAGTCCTTCTTTTCCAAATGTTTTTGTTAAACAGTTATTTCAAAAAGAGCATAACCATGCAAAGAACAGAAAACAAATGGAAAACAAATTCTGTATCGAGATGCCGTAATATCTGCAGCACAAACCTACAAATCCATTCAAAAGTATTCATCTGCGGAAAAGATCAAGAAGACTTACAACTTTCAGATATACCATTTCTCTGGGTTTCTCATGATTTTTTTTTATTATGGTTTTACAGAAGTTTCCATTTGCTATCACATCTGCTGCTGGCAAACTCCAAAAAACAGATCTTGCTACAGAATTTAGATATGACATCACATCCAGGGCCTTGATAATTGCTACAGCCATACGTGATTTCTCAGTTTCAGTTAACTAGTGTTTACACTACAAATTTTGAGTTCTAACTCAACTTTGTACTGCAGATGTTTTGGTGTTTGGCTTCAAGTCACAGGCATGCAGAGCTTCAGTTTTTCACGATTTGCACTCCTAGCCCTACTTCATAAAAGATCCACTTGCAACCGGGCCTAGATTCACACACTTTGTTGTGTCTGCTCTAGATTTCAGGTTTTTTGATCAGGGAGATTATTACCAAACAACTCAAACAAGTCCATAGCCCAGCCCAGATTCAGTGACTTCAGTGAAAGCTAGTTTTAAAGAGTTACAGGACAAGAGACTACAACTTGCCTCTTCTTCTATGCTGCCAGATTTAGCTCTTCTTTCCTCTCTTTCTTTTTCCATGAAGGGAATGAGGTGGCCAACTGCCTTCTTCATAACTCGAGCAGACTTTATCACCTGGAATTGACAAAAGGGAGGAAAAAGTGAGTGTCAGAGAGAAACAGCTGCAGCCCTTCAACATCCTATTTTGATAACCCTTCATAGGGAACCAGTAAACCCAAATACACATTTGTAAACACATATCTCAATCTTGCAATGAACTCAATGCTGTGCAACCCCTGCTTCATGTAGAGCCCCACTGACTTCAGGGAGGATTGCCCTGCATGGAGCTCACTGAAGGAGCAGGGCTGTTGGGCCCAGTCCTGACAGGTGCTTACAACCACCAAAAGGTCAACGTGTGTTAAGGGAGCTCAGTTTCTTTCGGGATCAAGCCCTTAAATCAAATCCACTAAGATGAAATTATAATGCAATGGTCAAAGAAGTGCCCAACAAGCAGCACAGAAGAAAGGTTTGGAAACAAGATGAGGAATTGAAAAGAAAGGAAAGAAAACAAAACAGAAAACCCAACCTAACAAAGGAGGGTCATGTGCAATGAAAGAGAACAAAATAACATCTTAGTAGTTACACCTATGTTTTTAGAATTCAAAGATTATATTTCTTTTGGAAAGGAAAGCTGGAATCGAACCATTTATGGTCACTTCTTTATAAGCAACAACCAGACAGATGATAGAGAAGCTAGGCTAGAATTGTGGAAACCGAAGCGACGGGGATAATTCACCTGTTTACCTGAGGTAGAAACATCTTTCCAGCACCGAAAAGATCACCAACAATTTTCATGCCATTCATCAAGGGCCCTTCAATTATGTTCAGAGGTCTGGGATATTTTTTATGGTTTAATCTTGCCTCTTCTGTATCCTCGATGACATATTTTTCAATTCCCTGAAAAAAATTACAATATTTTTATTTTACATTACACATACACATACATATGTCCACACTGTGTGTGTGTGTTCTCTCCAAAATGTTCAGAGTACTTTAAAAAAAACATAACAAAAGCAAAAGATGGTCAATTTTAGACTTCTAGTCTTCAAAAATGCATCCAATAGATTTCAATTAGGTTTTTTTGGACTACCTTATTCTCATTAAGACATGAGTAAGAATGGCGAAACTGAGTCAGACCAATGGTCCATGTAGCCCAGTGTCCTTTCTTCTGACAGTGGCCAATGCCAATTACTTGCATTATTAGTAACACGGACAAGAAAGATTATTAAATGTTAAGTCAACAGTGGTCTTTTTAAGGACTGTGTCACACTTCTGGTAAGAGAAAGCAGGACACAGGTAGGATCCCTGCATGCTTATAATTTGATTGAGTAAGGTAACTTTATAGATATTCACCTTGACAAGTGAGTATTCCAGCCTTTCCTCCACCAGGCTATCCCGCCATTCATCAGTCTGTACCACTTTTTTTCCTCCTTGGGCATGAGTCTATAATGGGATGAAAGAGATCTGAAGTCAGTGTGAATTTTACTGCATAAAGGACAGAGTTATGACCTCCGTATCTGGTCCATTTATTTTTTATAGGAATCAGAATTAAAAACTTCATGCAACTCCCACACTTAATATTTTAAGACCTTCTAAAGTTGTACTGTTTATACATGTTTACAAAGCACTACATATGTACGATAGGGATGTTAAATTTAGTTTAAACAACTAGTCGATGGAATTTCCATTGACTAGTCAATAAGCGGGGGAGCCGCAGCATGGTTAACTCCCAGGGTTAGAGCTAACCCTGCTGCGACTCTGCTTTTAAATGTATTAAGAGCCAAGAGGCTCTTAATACACTTAAAAGGCTGAAGCACAGCGAGGGGAGGGAAACCTGGTGCGAGCTGGAACAGCTGATTCCCGGCTTGCAACAGTCCCCCCATTGCGCACTAGCCTTTTAAATTTATTAAGAGCCAGTAGACTCTTAATACATTTAGAAAGCAGACACACAGCATCTGAGACTAGGTGCGATAGAGACAGCAAGGCAGGGGGAGAAGCGATTAGTCGAGGGACTAGTCAATTATCCGATAGGCTTATACTCTTTTGGATTCTACCCGAGAATGTAATTTAAACTGATCCCAGGTCAGCCCAGTGCACAATTCATTTTAAAGTAATCTCTTTGGCATTGGTTCAATTCTGCCAGAATACAGCTTGCGTTAGGCCACGTTCCAGATTACTTTTGAATTAAAATGCATCCAGAACTGTTTCATGTTGGGAGGTTTCAACAAGACAAAATAGCAAACATACGCTTTCTTTCTCTCATTTCAGGTTTTAGTGCCACAGCAGGGTTTGTTCTTAAACACCTGATTATCCACCTGAAAAGGCTGAGGAAACAGACCGTTACCTCAATCAATACTTTTGATCAAGGCAGTTTGCTTTTTGCAAACTGTTCTTGTGGTGCATTCTGAAAGAGAAAAATTGTTCTAGTAACTCCCATGTTCCACTGACTTGAGATTATCTCATCCTGTTGCTTTGAATGTTTATTAGCAGCCTTTTAAAAATAGAACCGTGAGGTGACGCCTGACAGAACAACCTCCATTTGTATTTGTGCTGAGCTCAACTGACTTCAAAATTTTCTGTCAAGTTACCAAGCCTTGTTGCATCTCTTCTTCCATAAACCTTCTGCTCTAGTCCTACCTTCTTCATGAAATGGCCCTCACAACCCTTTTGAATAATCCAGGGCAAACTAGACAGTAGAAAGAATAAAGTCAGCTGGAGCCAAGAGGAAATCCAAAGTGTTCTTAAGAACCTGACTATACTGGAAACTTGGAAGTATTTTTCTGCAACAGTGTTGTTACCTACAGCGGTAGCGTTTCCCTACTGTGTCATCTGTCCCTGCAGATACTACAGTAGCTGTGTCAAAAACAGAAGTAAACAGAGAGACCAGAAAAGGGTGGCAAATCTATATGGATGTAAAAGTATTTGAGAAAAATAAGACTCCAATTTGTAGAGGGGCAAACAAAAAGAGAGAAGGTTAAATAACCATTGGCCAATGTAGGTCAGAGTAAGAGTAAACTAAAAAATGGAAAACTACACGTTGATGTAGATAAAAATCAAGGGTGCAGGCAAGAATGATTACAGATTGGAGAAGACTATGGGAGGTAAGCATAGAGAGTAACAGTATGTCACGAAGGTCATGACCCACGCTGAAATCCCCAGTGAAGAAAAACTCAGTAAGCAGAAGAGACATTAATAAGAAGCAGAAAAATAGAAGAGTGAGGCAGGGTGGGGCAGACTTTTGAAAGCCAAGTGCTAAACTAGAGAGTTTTCACAGTAGGAGGAGAAATGGGGTTGGGTGATGAAAAAGGAGAAAAATCACTAAGGATCTGCTGGACTTCTGGCCACACATTTCATTAATAGAATCCATTTTACCCACAATTATATAGCATGTAATTAATGTATGGAATTTGCTGCTGCAAAGGGAGGCGGAGGTGACAGCACACTCTATGGGTGGGTTTTCAAAACAGGATAATTCTGGAGAGTAAGGATGGAATGCGGTCTTTGCTGAAGGCAATGGCAAAACTCCAATTGACTTCAATGGGATCAAGATTTCGCCCTAAGAATACTGGCAGCTATTCAAGGGATGAATAACTCTCATGTTTCAGGTGCAAACTGTTCACGGCAGGATACAGAAGATGGGCTTATTCAGATTTGGTGTAACAATTTCTATGCTCCTTGCATGCTAGCACTATAAGGATTTGTAGAGTTGAACAAAAGAATAAAGGAAGCACGTAGGCTTACAGCGTGCCACAACCATGAAATGACAGTTAAATAAATATCCAACAGTACAAAAATTAAAGCCATTCCACATACCATACCAAATAAACAACACACACATATAGAATAAATCGTTGAAAGATGAAATTCATTCCAGGGCATAGGGCCTACACAAGGCCTTATGTACCAATGAAGACAGGGTATAGAACAGCGGTTCCCAACCTTTTTTTAATATTGGAGACCAGCAAACTCGTCCACAAACTTTTGGCGGACTGGCAACATCTTATTTGCACATTCATTATGTAAATAAGGAATATGTAAATAAAATATTACTGGTCCACCTAAGGCCTCGGCCCCCAGAGCTGCCGCCAACAGCCAGCTTCAGCTCTGACTGTGGCCATGTGAAATAGGACTGATAGGGCTATTAATTCACTTTAACATTAAGGGATGTCACTATAAATTAACACATTTAGCCTTGACAGAGATATTTCTGGTTTAAAGGGTATCCCCTTTGGCTCCAACTTTACAAAAATACTCAGGTGCCTAACTCATGTAGGTGCTCATCTAGTTGAATTTTTAGGTGTCAAAATACCTTTGTTAACCTGGCCCTTAAACTATTTTACTTCTCGCTCACATTGGTTCTTTTAACTCACTGTAAGGCTCTAGTTGTTTCTTCCTCCCTGCAACTACAGATACTGTAAATATCCCAAGTTTATTACCACATGATAAAAGAAAAAGAACATTGTACAATACAACCTTAGTAATAGTATGAAGTCTCACATGAAATGTGTGCTATGAGGATGACAGCTGACATGGATAGAAAAGTTTTCCTGATATTAGTTTTAAATGTTCTGCCCTTGTTCTTATGACAGTATCAACACAGTGCATTCTATAAGTCAAACATAATTTTGGTAATGTTACCCCCCAAAAAATATTCCCAACTGGAGACCACCCAGGGTTACACTAGCATGGGTTTATTTTTTGAGGAATTAGCACTTCACTGTATGCACTACAAAAATAGAGTTGCCACCTAAAAAGGGAACCAGCACTCTCGCTCTCAATCACACACCCACTCCTCCGTTCATTCACTCATTCACACACATTCATTCCTGCCCTAGGCACTCACACATGTACATGGGCATATGGGTTGCAGAAGGAGCCAAGGCATGTAGATCCTGGAGGGTCTATCTGCTCATCATGACTGGGGAGCTGGTCAGGAAAGACACTGGCTGTAGAGAGGAGTTTTTGAGGAGCACAGGAAGAAAGAGAGAGTCTCACATGTGCTCCCTCTCCTTTATATAGTGTATGTATGGCCCCTGTGACTCATCCACTGATTCACCAGGGAGCATGCCCACACTTCCCTTTATCCAGCAAAGCAGCAGTATCTGATGACTCATCACCATGTGCTCCAGCGTTAGCCTTGCAGCTTTGCGCGCACACACACACACACACACACACACACACACACACTTTCTCATCGATCAAGGGAGAATGCAGTTTAGATCAAGCTACAAGCAAGGTGGCTGAGAGTTACAAAGATTACAAAGTTGCAGCTTACAGTAAGTTTCTAAGAGGTACAAAGATTACAAAGTTTTACAAAGATTACAGCAAATTGCAAAGTTTGACAAAAATGACGATAAATTGCAGTTTAAAACCTTAGACCTTACAGTTAGTGTATTTTCAGAAAATGCATGTGTAAAATCAAGTGAGCTCAGGCATAGGCTTTTTTATGCAACAGGTAACACTACCTATATATAGTCCCCTCGTCTATCTAAATACTGTAAAGCAGGGTTGGGCAATAAAAAAAAATGGCAGACCACAGGGGTAGGCCCTCAAGGGCCGTCGCTGCTATGTTTACCTGCACCTCCGCATGGGGTTGCAGCTCTGGTTGGCTGCAAATTGCCATTTGTGGCCAATGAGAATGGCAGGAAGTATTGAAGACTGGGATGCTACTTCCTGCCACCTGCATTAGTCACAAGTGGTGATCGCAGCCAATGAGAGCTTCAATCCTCCAATACCTGCAGAGGTGTAGATAAACATAGTGGCAACAGCCTGCCAAGGACTAACCCTGAGGACCGGATCCAGCCCCTGGGCCAGAATATGCCCACCCCTGCTGTAAAGAGTTTATGCATCTATCAGTCTGTGGGCCTGTTTGTTCAAGAACTCCTTCTAAGGCAAAAGCTAGGGCCACTGAAGTTGGAATGCAGCTTTCTCTTATCCTAACTTAAAGCAAGGTCAGAGTTTGTTTGTGCCAGGAAAACAGAAAGTACATGAAATGGAACTGTTTTCCATAACATGGAAGGGAGGGGGCTGATCAGAGAGACAGTTAGGCTACATCTAAACTACAAAGATTTTTCGAAAGAGGGTATGAAAGTTCCATGGGAATTTGCATATCTTCTTTAGAAAAATCTTTGTAGTCTAGATGTAGCCTTATACTGCAGTGACCACTGTGGGCAGCTGCACCAGCAAGAGAGTGTCCTGCTGAGGATGAGACTGCATGTTGTCGGTCACTGGATCAGGTAAGTGGCCCCCCCCCCCCCAAAAGTGTTGGACAGGTGACGGGGGGGGGAGAGCCCCCTCACACACCAGCCCCAACCCCAGGACCACCCCTGGGGCCAGGCTGCACAGTACCCCCCAGAAGAGGCCCGGCCCAGGCTGGGAACCATGACTCAAACCTGGACCAGCAGCAGGCTGGGGGGGGAGGTGGCGGTTGCAGACCAGGGGGGCAGCTGGAGGCTAAGGTCAGCCCCCTCACCCCAGTCAGGATGGAGGCCGGGGGGGAAGCTAAAAACAGGAGGAAGGCTGGGGGGGGAGGTGGCGGTTGCAGACCAGGGGGGCAGCTGGAGGCTAAGGTCAGCCCCCTCACCCCAGTCAGGATGGAGGCCGGGGGGGAAGCTAAAAACTGGAGGAGGCCCACCCCCGCAAACCTGGAGGCCATGGGGTGAGGAGGGGAGAAGTTGGAGGCCAGGCTCGCCCACCCACAACCAGCTGAAGAATAGGGCTTGCTCTCGCAACTTTTGTCCCCTACCCCTACCCTGAGCCCCCACCCACCGCCATTAGCCCCCACCCCAAACCTCTGCCATGACTTCTGCACCCCACCCCATTCCCTGAGTCTCCCCCACACCTAATCCCCTCCCCAGTGCAATCATCTAAATACAGCATGTACATTTTCCTTTCAATTAAAAAAATCCCTCAAAATTACCCAACTATTACTGCAGTTAAGGACCCAAACCATGCCAGGTAAATCGGCTAGTCTTTAATAAAGAAGTGTGGCTTGTAGTCATGATAAGTAGCTCTTCAGTCTGGTTTCACATTATTCTATAATGTGCCCTACTTACTAACTTGGAAATCCACAGGAGGCATGAGATTAATTTCAATGCAACCAGGATTTCATTTTAAGTCCTCAGTGTTATTAATCTGGAACCTTTCCTATTCCTTTTGATAAAGGCCAGAACTATCACCAGAGTCTCTCACCAATGCACAGATTCACACAACATCCCTGCGGGGTAGTATAATTTAATCCACTTTTACAGATGGGGAGTGAGAAAGAGAGGGAGATTAAATAAAGTGCCCAACAACAAACAAGTCTAGCACAGCTGGCAACTGAATCCATATCCGAGTCCCACTAGAGTGCCTTATCACTGGGTGTGTTTGTCTCCTTTCAGGTGCACAAAAAATGTTCTCAGTCCTCCAAAGACACATAGGAGCTAATGTTTCAATAGAAAGAGTCCTCTTCACCTTCCAGGATACTCCTGGCCACAAGTGCAGGGATAGGCAATAATTTTTGATGGGGGGCCACTCCAAAATTGTGGAAAGTGTTGAGGGCCGCACTCTTCCAGGATATTAATGGAGGAGGTGCGGGGTCTGGGGTGGAGGTTGGGTGCAGAATTGGGGTAAGGGATTGGGGTGCAGGAGGAAAAATGGGGTCTGGGAGGGAGTTTGGGTGAAGGAGGCAGTTGTGACCTAGGGCAGGCGACTGAGATGCAGGATTTTGGGATGTGACCTAGACTAGGAGGGGCTTGTGACCTGGGGCAGAAGATTGGGGTACCAGATCTGGGGGGTGGATGGGTGCAGAAGATTTGGGTATATGGAGGGGGCAGAGGGTTGGAGAAGAGAAGGGCTGGGATGCCAGAGGCAGTCTCTGGGTGAAGGTGGCTTGTTGCTCCATGTGGCTCCGCTTGGGCATGAGAGAGAGGGGAAGAGGGAGGGGGACAAGGAGGAAGGGAGAAGGCTTCCTACACTGACCCTGCTCCCAGCAAAAATTCTTGGCTCCTATTGGCCAGAAACTGAGAGATTGACCAATGGGAGCCAAAGAGATTTTGCTGGGCGGTGGGAACAGCATTAGAAGTCTCCCTCCTCCCTGGCCCTCTGGAGTGGAGAGCAGCTGGTTTTCTAAGACGTGAACTGATCTCTGCCTAAGGGCTCCAGTGAGGGGGCCGTGGGCTGGATCTGGTGGCTTGGCAAGCTGGATCCAGCCCGCTGGCAGCATCTTGCCCACCCCTGCCCTAGTGCAATATAAAATTCTGTTCCAGAGGCAAAACAGTCTCATCAGAAGTTACCTTTGCCACAAGCTCTCCTTAGAGAGTCAGAACAACTCTGATTTGGTAGCCACCTTCAGGGCACAATGTAAAGCATATTCAATCTGGTTCAATTTTTTCTATTTCCTTTTAATGACTAAGCTGCTTATACTGACAACTGTGGCAGCTTCTACTGCTCACTGTCAGAGGCTACATGAATTTATGTTTTAGTCTTCCTTGGTGTGTCAGTACTTAGATGCAATGGTCGAGATCATGTACAAAAGATTAATAAAAAGACATGCCATTGAAGATTACCTGGGCATAAAGTAAAAGCTTCTCTGTTGCATCTGGGTCTTTATTCCAGATCAGATTCTCACACAGTTGTAGAAGTTCCTTGTGAATATCATCATACACTGGAAGATTCCCTGCATTCACAATCCCCATGTCCATGCCATACTGAGAGTACAAAAAAAATAATCAGCAATACCCATAAAACTTCACAAAACATGTCTGTGGAGCATTCAATAATGTAGTCGGAAAGCACATCATACCTTAATTGCATGGTACAGGAAAACTCCATGCATTGCTTCCCGAATGGCATCCATCCCCCGGAAGGAGAAGGACAGATTGGAAAGGCCTCCACTTATTTTAGCTCCTGGTAGTGTTTCCTAGCAACAGGATCAAAATAGCAGCAAGTTCAAACTTTATAAATGTGGTAGTCAAACTGGCACTGGAGGGGCAGTTACCCACAAATAACTGGTTTAAGATGTGTTCAGTGGTGACAAGTAACATAATGACAGAGTCTCCTTCCCCTTGGTTCCGGCTGCTTCTACAATTATTCAGGCTCTTCCTTGCAGGGAAGAACTTGAATGTCTGTAGAAGAAGCTGGAAACAAAAAGAACCAACCTAGCTACACATAAGCAACGTGTGTGATCCCCAAGGGATGCTGGGCTATTATCAACTGAATCTTGACTAGGCAGGGTGTTCCACCTAATAGCAAATGGGAGGGGAGCTACTCCCTCAGGATGTGGTCCACACTATGGAAGTCTGACAGCCATTTTCTAAAACCCTAACGTTCACTTTTCCTTAAATTTAGCAAAGAAACCAGGAAGAAAAGGGATCCAACACTATAACAACTCACAAATTATCTTCTCAGGAAAAATGAAACAATTAATTGTCAAAACATTAACTAGATGCTGTCTGTAAGGGTTGTTTTCTTAAATTAATAAGTAGGGCTGCAGATTTGTCAAAGCATTTTTTACTCAAAACTGAGAGAGCAGTCACAGTAAACTCACAGACTAAGGCCAGATGGGTCCTTCACTATCATCTAATCTGACGTCCTGCATACTGCAAGCCACAGAACCTGCTCCATCCCTTCCTGTAATAGACCCGTAACCTCTGGCTGAAGTACTGAAAACCTCATATCATAATTTAAAGACTTCAAATTACACAGAATCCACCATTTTTTCTAGTTTAAACCTGCAAGGCACCCATCCTCTCCCCTCCCCCAAACATGCCTTTCATGGAGGTTAGGTCCATAAAAGGCTATTAGCCAGGGGATAAAATGGTGTCCTTGGCCTCTGTTTGTCAGAGGCTGGAGAGGGATGGCAGGAGACAAATCACTTGATCATTGTCTTCGGTCCACCCTCTCTGGGGCACCTGGTACTGGCCACTGTCGGCAGACAGGATACTGGGCTAGATGGACCTTTGGTCTGACCCAGTACGGCCGTTCTTATGCACCCTTGTTGACTGTCAACACTTTCAAGGTTATCCCTGGTTTTGGAACTATTTTGTGTTTTTTTTTAAATATCTGGGTCAGGTTTTGGGCAACTGTGAAATTGAGCTGCTCAGAACATGGAAGTCTAGAAATAACAATGGACCCTTCCACATAATCATTGTCTTCCCAAAGGGAGTCATTCACTGCCCTGCTACTAACATACCCAGCATCTAGCTGCCTTCTCTCAGCAGCTCTCTCCCTCACACACTCACACTCACTAAACTTGAAATGTGTTTGTTAGGAAGTGGCTGACAGGCCTTTTCTGGAAGGTGGACAATTAACCCACCTCCACATCCTATCACAACCAGACCCAGGAAGAGCTCCTCCATTCTCAGTACTTCAATACGCAAAGCTGGAGACAGGCCACAGAAGTACACTGGATCAGCATGGGATTCCAAATCTCATCTGGAGATGGAGGAGCCTTTCTGGGTTTAACAGATCCAGCACAGAGACAGGACAGGGTGCTGCTCCCTGCCCATCTCCCTGAGAATAGTTCAAATAGAGTAGGTTTGGAAGGGCTGGCTACAAATGGAACCTACCACACTGCCCCCTCAAACATAAAAGGCAGAATGGGTGATATGTTTTTAAACAAGCTATGTCCTTCATTTCAGGGCGTTTCTACGGGTGTACTGTGACTAAATAAAAAGTCAAGAGAGTCTTACATTATTGCACACACAAAAACCTAATCTAATCCAATCACAATAATTGAACTCAATTAAACAAATCAGCTTTTTCTTTTCCTGAGAGGGGCCTTTTGGCCAGAGAGCTGACATTTTATGTATGTTGCCTCATTTCATTAATATCAATATATTTATGGTACAGCTTATGGACTGAACTATATTTAGAGCATTACATAACATGTAATGTTTTCTGTTGGAAGCACAGCAGTGTTGAAAAACAATTGCAATTCACAGAAGTCCACTGTTATGAATTCAGGGAGTCAATTATGGTGTAGCACTGGGAATTTTTAAGTAGCTCTGCAAGAATAAAAAGAAAATAAAACAATAGCCAAGAAAACCTCACTTTGATGGTTTTAGCTGCATTGATGAAGTTAATTGCATACAGGTTATGTTCTTCCATTCCAGTCCCTATGGTCAGAATATTGGGGTCAAAGATTATATCATTTGGATTGAAGCCCACTTTCTTCACAAGGAGGTGGTAAGCTCTGGTGCATACTGCAATTTTTGTTTCTGTTTCTGTGGCCTGCAAAAATTAAAAAAGGAGTATGAAAAGAAAGCATTTCTGCTTGTGTAACACAGAGACAGGATGAAACCAAAGTTCCAGAGCCTAGTTCACAGGTCTCTCAAGAATCAGAGCTACCAATCTGAACACCATGAACTTGGGAAAGATCAGATTTTGCATTCGTAAGTCCAAGTTTTGTCGTGTTCAGATCTGAGGGGTCTTGGTTCACTCCATTATAGAAAGGAAGTAGGTTAGAAAGAGAGAGAGAGACTCTAAAATCCCAGTGTGGCTCCTATTTCCAGCATCCCACCAAAACCTGACAGCTCTGGGAAGAATAAAACTAATTCACAAATAGATCTGAGCTTAGTTTTCTGTCTGATCCAATCAAATTCTTAACTAGAAACCTGAAGTGGAAAAGTACAATGGAATTTAATAGAAAATGTATAGCCCTGCTATTACATTCCTGTTTACACCTGCCACGATCATCATCTAGTACAAGTGGAACAGCCTTGTGGCTCACCAAAACTGCTGCCCTATAAGTGGTTCAGGTCTGATTCTGTTATTCTTACTCTCGTAGGGTAGTATATTCGATTCCATCAACCCAGTGATTTCAGACGGACTGCCCATATGGATATATTGCTAACTCAACACAATCAAGCCATTAGTGTCAAAAATGTCCCTAGATCAGGGTCAAAAAGTGTTACTAGAACTGCATAGTCATCTAATCATATTTGACCCTGAAAACAAAGCCACTTTACCTCTTCCTTCTCCTATGGGAATGATGAGCCTTTTCATCTCAAAAAGTAAAATCTGTCACATAAGAAAATGATACTCACTTGACCCACTTCATCAAAAGCCATGACCACCACAGCTGCTCCATATAACTTAATCCTTCTTGCTTTTTCCAAGAAGTCATTTTCTCCTTCCTTCAGGCTGATGCTGTTCACAATGCATTTCCCTTGGCAACACTTCAAGCCAGCTTCAATTACAGAGAAATTTGAAGAATCGATGCATAATGGCACCTGTATCCAGCAGAAATATAAACAAAGAGGAGACATGTAAATTAGCTGCAAATTTTCCCTGATTGCCACCCACCAACTTAAACAGAAGGCTAGACAAGCTAACACAATATTCATTAGGTTCTCAGTCCTGAATAAAAAAAGAGAAATCTACAAACAAAAGAGCACCCAGAATCCTTGTTTTCAGTGCTATTCTCAATGTGACTTGAAATACAGAGCTGCTATGGAAATACAGAGCCTCTCCCCCCTCTAGACCCTCTCTTCCCCACTCCCATCTTTCAGCATGCAACCATTTGCTTTTAGCAAGCCAAATTGCTTGGTATCATCAGGTTTTAATATCATGGGGGAGAATTTTCCTATACATACAGCGAACTCTGGACTCTTGTTCTGCAGACAGATGAGATTTATGTATGAGAAGGCGGCTCAGCACAGCACTCTGCTGCCAGTTTATATTGTGAATGGTAGTTTTAAAAAGGACTCAACATTCTGCTCTGCCAACAAAAGGGAAAATGTAGCAAGCCTTGGAGCTGGCAATAAAAGACAATGCAGCTCAGAAGGAGTATGCTTGAAAACTGTTTGCCAATGGAAGACTGTGACGGGCCCAACGAGGCCCGCACTAGGACCGGCGGGACGCCGCCCGCCCCATCTGCAAGGGGGTAGGGCCACACGGCACTGCGAAGCAGTGGCTGGCAACTGACGCAGCTGCACTGCTGGCAGAGAGCCGTGGCGTGCGGGGGCGGGGCCCTGATACAAACACACGCCGCCCCAGAATGGCGGGAGGCAGAGGGGGGGGGGCAACATCCCAGGCCGCTTGAAAAGGCCCGGAGGAGAGGGCAGCGGGACAGTGTGCAGAGCTGGAGGTGCCAGGCACCCCTCTGGTAGCGACGTCTTCCACCCCAGTGGAGAAGTGTCCCGCAACCCCAGAAGCTCGGAGCGGAGACAAAAGTGCTGGAGAAGGCGCTGGACCGGTAAGCCCCTTGGACAAACCCAGGAGAGGAGGTACTCAGGAGAGAGAAAAGGCCCGGAGGAGAGGGCAGCGGGACAGTGTGCAGAGCTGGAGGTGCCAGGCACCCCTCTGGTAGCGACGTCTTCCACCCCAGTGGAGAAGTGTCCCGCAACCCCAGAAGCTCGGAGCGGAGACAAAAGTGCTGGAGAAGGCGCTGGACCGGTAAGCCCCTTGGACAAACCCAGGAGAGGAGGTACTCAGGAGAGAGATAGGAAGCAGCCCGGAGCAGAGTGCTCTTGACTCCTGTGGGCTGACACACTTCGCGGTGGAGCCCCGTCAGCCGGGTAGGGGTCAAACACCCTGACCCCTTAGGGCCCCGGGCTGAGAGAGGGAGAGCCCAGGTCCTCCTAAATCCCCTCCTCCTCCACACTGCACTCTAATTGTGCACGGAATACTGTCAGCCAATTGGCCTTGAGGGCAGATACTATCATTATTGAAGAAGAGGCAGGACTTAGGGGCCAAGAGACCCCCAGGGATTTCCCCTCCCCCAGACTTTTAAGATGGTGGACTCACTGGGCCCCACCCTCTGGCCAGAGCGTGGGAGCTCACGCCCATAAACCGGCCACAAAGACCATTCTGCTGCATGCCACTTAGCACGTGGGACACTATTCTACAGGGAAGGAAAGAACCCAAAGTCTGATGCCTATGGCTTTCCCATCACAAAACTAGTGGAGGATTCCTAAATACACACACTTTCTGTCTATTAAACATGATCATTATATCAACATTTTACCGAAACATGATTCACATATCAACAACAACAAAATCAGCCTGAACGTGCTGCGGGATACATCGAGTATAACCTTAGCAATGTCAGGTTCCGAACCAATGAAGTTACAAAATCTGGCCATTGCGCTCGGCCCATCCAGCATTCCATCATCCATATTGATATCCAAAATCTGGGCTCCCATCTCAACTTGGGCCTTGGCTACACTCAAAGCTTCCTAAAGAAAGGGATTTAAAATGAATAAGCAGAACAAATGTGTTAGTCATGGTGGAGATATTGTTTCATCATCCCAAACAAAACCTCCCTGAATTCACCCTATGTTGTAAGTTATCAAAATGAGAGACTCTCCTTTTCTAGTTAGTTTTATAAAGGTGCCTTCACTGATGTAAAATAAGTAAGGCTGTGTCTAGACTACATGCCTCTGTCGGCAGAGGCATGTAGATTAGACACATAGGCAAAGGCAAATGAAGCCGCGATTTAAATGATCGCGGCTTCATTTACATTTACATGGCTGCTGCGCTGAGCCAACAAACAGCTAATCAGCTGTTTGTCAGCTCGCGCGCTAGTCTGGACGCTCCCCTGCTGACATCAAAGCCCTTTGTCGGCAGCCCCGTTATTCCTCGTGGAATGAGGTTTACCAGGGCTGCCGAATCTACATGCCTCTGCCGACAGAGGCATGTAGTTTAGATGTACCCTAAGTGTCCTCTCCATATCCCCAGAGCTTTGATCAGTTTGTGGCTAAAGGACACTGGTCTCTAACTCTTAGATCTTTGAGAAGGCCAGCTCTTTGGAGTCTCTGGGGTGGTTATCACTCCTGCATGGTGAGGGGTGGAACTGAACTGAACTACACTGGGAAACTAGATACAAAAATTCACTTGCCAGGCAAACCTGAGAGCCACAAACCCAAACATTTCAGAGGGAGCTAAGAGTAGGAGCAATAAAGGCTTTCCTTCCACCTCTACATCTGATATTAAGGTAGCCAGAGAGGAAACAGTGGTGGATACCTGCACTGAATGTGACACATTCTCTTCCAGCATAAAGCCAGAAAATATTTCCTGTGCATGGAGTGCAAGCTGGTCACTGTGCTAGAAGACAAGATTTGTGGTTTGGAACGGCAAGTTGAAACACTACTGAGAATCAGAGAACTGAGCAATTCCTAGACAGCCAGATTTGGGAAACATCATTACCCCAGGATCAAAGAAGAATGGAAATGGCCACCAAGGAACTGGAGAGAGAGAGAGAAAATCAGTGAGGAGGATTGGAAGTTCATAACCACCAGAGACAAGAGCTCACAGTGGCACTCCACATTGCTAGAGATGGATGAGAATACGCAGGCTGTGACCACCAGAAAGAGGAGGAGCAGAAGAAATTCCACACAGGCTAAAGTTTCAAATGGATACCAGGTCCTCAATGTGGAAAATGTGAAAGATCCCTCTCAATATCCAGCAGGTCTATGGAAACAGAGAGGTGTACGAGATGTCACTCTAAGATTGGATAGGCTTCTGAATGTCATGCTCCATTGGTGTTGGATGGTTCATATCTGCACTAATGACACTGCATCACAGGATATCTTGTGGATAACAGATGACTGCAGGCAACTCAGAAGCACACAATGCAAGAAGACACAATGTCTAAATGATCTTGTCGGAGATCTGACTTACGCAAAAGGTGTAAGTTTCTGGAAGTGAACCACTGTTTACATAGTGGCATAGGATGAAGGGTTTCAGTTTTGTAGAACATTGGTTTGCTTCATTTGGAGAGAGGGGACTACATAGTTTAGATGGCCTCACTAGAAGGAAAGCCGATATCCTCACGGACCTGCTGGCTAGAGAAGTCAGGAGGGCATAAAACTAAAAGCCAAAGGGTGAGGGTAATAAAAGGAAAGTTATGATCACTCAACACAAAAATCAAAATGTTGAGAACAACATTAATCAAGGAATGAAAGGATGTGACGAGAAAAAATTCCTGAATTGCCTATACACCGACGCTAGGAGCCTGGGTAACAAACAAAAGGAACCGGAATTGCTCATTATGAGCATCAATATGATCTAATTGGTATTACTGAAACCCGGTAGTATGATTCACACAATAGGAAGGTTGAAAATCAATAGTTAAAGCCTACTTAAGAATGAACTAGTGGGCAGAAGGGAAGGGTGAGTGACATTCTGTCAAAAATGACATTAGCTGCTTCCAAATCACTCATAACTCAGAAGAAAATGATCTTGAAGGCTTATGGATCAATATCCTAATACATAAAGCACAGGGTGAGGTACTAGTTGGTATCTGTTATAGACCACTAAATCACACCAGGGGATAGCATGACCAGCTCCTTACCTATAATGTGTAGGGGGAAAAAATGTTTGAGATTTTGGACATAATTAGAGTGACATATACTGGTGGTCTCCCATGCTGCCAAAAAGAAAACATCCTGGGAATTGCCAAACATTATGGAAGTCAATTTCATAATTTAATTTTTTTTTCAGCCAACACAGGGTAAATTTTACATTAGGACTTATCCTAACAGATAAAGCGGAACTGATCACAGAACTAAACACTGAAGGTAAAAACGTGACCAAGTCATGGTCACTTGATAATGTGCAAATAGGATTAAGTCCAGACCAGTCATATACAGACTTGGTCCTTTAATAGTGCCAATTTCACAAAACTGAAAACAGTTCTGAGCAAATGAGGTGGGAGGAAGAATTTAATCAGAAAAAATGTCAGTGATCATTGGGAATAACTTAAGACCATCTTACGAGATGCCCCAGAAGCCACAATCAAAGGAGGAGCTATACTGGTTAAAAAACAACAGGGTGCAGATGGGAACTAAAGGCAGGCATAAAAAAGAAAAAGATAATATATAACAAATGGAATAAAGTGGAATTTCATAGTAATGAATATAAATTAGTAGTTAAGAGACTACAGAAAATTGATACGTGAAGCCATAGGACACAAAGAAAACTGTATGGCCGGATGAGTCCAAGACACGAAGAAGAAAAAAAACATATTAGGAGTCTATATTAAGAGATTGTTTTTTATTAATTATACAATGTGAGTTTATGGAAAAGAGATCCTGTCAAACTAACTTGATTTTTTATTTTGTTAGATTACAAGTTTGGCTGATGGAGGTACAAGTGCTGACACAACATACTTAAGACTTCATTAAGGCATTTGACTTGGTAATAGGGTTGTGAACGTTTAACTGGTTAACTGGTAAGCCTTAGACTTAATGGGTGAGGCTTACTGCTTAAAGTTAACTGGTGGGGCTGGAGCAGGCAGGGAGCTGGAGCAGGTGGCCGGGAGGGAAGGTCACTAAGGACAGGAGTTATTCCAGCATAGCCCCTGCCTGCAGCAGGCCCAGGTACCTTGTGGTGGAGGGGCTGCAAGCAAGGGCTGCTCTGGCCGGGCTGGAGCAGCCTCTGGCTGTGGCAGAGGCTTTGGCAGAGCCCTCCTGCTCGCACCCTTTAATTGGTTAATCAGTTAAACAATCATAGAATCAGAGACGCATAGAACACTAGAACTAAAAGGGACCTTGAGAAGTCATCGAGCCCCTCACGGCATGACCAAGTACTGTCTAGACCATCCCTGACAGATGTCTATCTAACCTGTTCTTAAATATCTCCAGAGATGGAGATTCTACAACCTCCCTAGGCAACTTATTCCAGTGTTTAACCACCATGACAGTTAGGAAGTTTTTCCTAATGTCCAACCTAAACCTCCTTTGCTGCAGCTTAGGCCGATTGCTTCTTGTCCTATCCTCAGAGGCTAACCTTGTGATACCCTTTTAGATACTTGAAAACCGCTATCATGTCCCCTCTCAGCCTTCTCCTTTCTAAACTAAACAAGCCCAATTCTTTCAGTCTTCCCTCATAGCTCATGTTCTCTAGACCTTTAATCATTCTTGTTGCTCTTGTCTGGACCCTCTCTAATTTCTCCACATCTTTCTTGAAATGTGGTGCCCAGAACTGGACACAATACTCCAATTGAGACCTAATGAGCGCTGAGTAGAGCAGAAGAATGACTTCTCGTTTTCTGCTCACAACACTTCTGTTAATGCATCCCAGAATCATGTTTGCTTTTTTGCAACAATATCACACAGTTGACTCCTATTCAGCTTGTGGTCCATGATGACCCCTAAATCCCTTCCTGCAGTACTCCCCCCTAGACAGTCACTTCCTATTCTGTATGTGAGAGACTGATTGTTCCTTCCTAAGTGGAGTACTTTGCATTTGTCCTTATTAAACTTCATCCTATTTACCTCAGACCATTTCTCCAGTTTGTCCAGATCATTTTGAATTATGACCCTATCTTCCAAAACAGTTGCAACCTCTCCCAGCTTGGTATCATCTGCAAACTTAAAAAGTGTACTCTCTATGCCAATATCGAACTCGTTGATGAAAATATTGAACAGAACCGGTTCCAAAACAGATCCCTGCGGAACGCAACTTGTTATGCCCTTCCAGCATGATTGTGAACCATTAATAATTCCTCTCTGAGAACGGTTATCAAGCCAGTTATGCACCCACCTTATAATAGCCCCATCTAAGTTGTATTTCCCTAGTTTACTGATAAGCTCATGTGAGACTGTATCAAATGCCTTACTAAAATCTAGGTATACCATGTCCACTACTTCTCCCTTATCCACCAGACGTTTTATCCTTTCAAAGAAAGCTATCAGATTGGTTTGAGATGATTTGTTCTTTACAAATCCAATCTATCGCCTTATTTTCTTCCAGATAGTTGCAGATGAATTCCTTAATTACTTGCTCCATTATCTTTCCTGGCACAGAAGTTAAACTGACTGGTCTGTAGTTTCCTGGTTTTTTCTTATTTCCTGTTTTATAGACGGGCACTATATTTACCCTTTTCCAGTCTTCTGGAATCTCTCTAGTCTTCCATAATATTTCGAAGGTGATAGCTAAAGGCTCAGATACCTCCTCTATCAGCTCCTTGAGCATTCTAGGATGCATTTCATCCAGCCCTAGTGACTTGAAGACATCTAACTTTTCTAAGTAATTTTTACCTTGTTCTTTTTTAATGTTATCTTCTAAACCTACCCCATTTCCACTAGCTTTCATTATATTAGGCATTCCTTCATCATCAGACTTCTTGGTGAAGACCAAACCAAAGAAGTCATTAAGCACCTCTCCAATTCCAAGTTTCCTGTTATTGTTTCTCCCTCTTCACTGAGCAATAATATGTTTAACTGGTTAGCCA